ATCTTGAGTTATCAAGGTGCTCAGGATGGGCTAATCTCCACAGTGATCATAGAGTTTGTACCTCCAAGAACAGACCAGGAAATAGTCTCCCATTAGATGCCCCTGCTTTATGTTGAGCTCCAACTAATGCAATTAGAGCTGGGTGGAATTTCCTACCAGCATCATGATGACCAAAACCTAGGTGTGCCCTTCATGGCTGTCCCGTTTCCCAAGTAGTCTCTGAGGCAGGAGTGCATGGTGATCAAATCTACCTGTGTTGGGAATTGCATGTCACATGGCTGGGTAGAAAAAGGGACAGGTGCAGGACATCACCTGGGTGTTCTGAAACATTGGTCCTGGAAAGGATGAGCATGATGTGAGAGGTGATGATCACAGACAGTTACGGCTGATGTGATGAAGTGGGTGGAGCCAGTTTGCTCTGAGTTATGACTCTTGAATTAGATAGATCCATTTCTGTTGCTCTTGATTCTTTTTGTTGTTGTTGTTGAAAGTATTACAGATGTCCCTCTTTTTTCCTCATTGACCCCCTCCTTCCTGCTCCCACCCCTCTCCTGCATTCCCCAGCCTTATGTCCGTGTAGACTGGTTGTGCATATATGCATATAAGTTCTTTGGTTTATCTCTTCCCACCCCAAGTACTCTTGATTCTTTTCTGTGGCATCATTTTCCTTGGGCATGAAGAACATCTGTAGCATACTTTGTAGTGCAGTTCTGCTAGCTACAAATCCTTTCACTTATGCATATATGGGAATAGCTTTATTTCACCCTCTTTTTTTTCTTTTTATCCTCACCCGAGGACATTTTTCCATTTTTTATTCAGATAGAGCGGGAAGGAGAGAGAGGAAGAGAGAGAGAGAAACATTGATGTGAAAGGGACACATCGAGTGGCCGCCACCCACACGACCCAACCAGTGCCGGGGACAAACTGCAGCCTAGGTACATGCCCTTAGCGGGAACTGAACCCGGGTCTCTGTGGACTGCAGGCTGACGCTCTAACCACTGAGCAAAACCGGCCAGGGCTTTCACCCTCGTTTTTTAAAGATATTCTGCTCCACTCCCCTGAAGACCCCAAACCACCATGATTCGCTTTCTGTCACATAGCTAAGTTTGTATTTTCTAGAATTTCATGTAAATGGAAACATATAATATGTATTCTTTTTTCTCTCTAGCTTCTTTAATGCAGCATCATAATTTTGAGGTCCATTCCTGTGTATCAGTAGTTCATCCCTTTTATTGCTAAGTACTGTTTCACTGTATGGCTGTACCACAATCTGTTTATCCATTCACCTGTTGATGGGTAATTGGGAGGTTTCCATTTTTAGCTATTACAAATAAAGCTACCATGAATATTTGTGTGCAGGTCTTTGCATGGGTAGATGCTTCATTTTCTCTTGGGTGAACATCCAGGGGTGACATGCAGGGTCATAGTTGAATGTTGGTTTTTACTAAACAGTTAACCTGTTTTCCATTATGGTTGTACCATTTTACATTATCACCAGACGTGATAGGCCATCAGGGCTGCACAACTAAATAAGACCCAACTCTCTTCCAGTCTTTCTGTCTTTCAGCTATTGCTATACATAGTCACAAAATGAATTCAGCATCATGGAACATGGACTTCACTAAGTGGGCAAGGAGAACCATTAAAGCTGTTCTGGAAGAGTGCTCAGAATTATATGGCAGAGATCTGTGTCCCGGGGTACTTGGAACGTAGTCTGGAGGGGAAGCTGTGGCTATCAGCAGGCATTTTCTTTGCCTCAAAGGATTTTTTTTTTTTCCAGTGTGGAAGGGTATAGCCAAAGGATGACCAGAGTGGGGCCCTCGAAAGTATGGAGTTCAGGAGAGCACTCCTTGCCCAGGTCCAAAGGCAGTACTGTTTCTCTCTCTTCTAATCTGTCTAAATTCTGACGATCTTCAAAACCCATCTTCAGTCATCTATCCTACTGTATCTTCCATCATTGTGGCAGTTCTGTGTATCATTTTCTTTTCAGTTGTTTTCTATTTACCTTTGTTTGTATTTATCACTTTCTTACTTTGTCAAGAAGCTTTTGAGTCAACCACTGTATTCCTTTTTCCTTCATATGTCCAACAAAGTGCTATGTATACAACAACTGCTCGAAGATGCTGGTTGAACAAAGTGCTTCAGGTCGTTGGTTGGTTTTCCTTAGCTCCTAGGTTATGGTGTTGGTCTGGAGAAACTGCCCCTCATGATTTTGCATTTACACATATAGAACCCAGTGGACAGGTATGGATTCATTACCCAAGCTCTTCTTTATCATCTTTGCTAAGCATTTGTCCTTAGCTGACTTAACACTACCCAAACTCTGTACTTCTATTTACGTTTTGCTAATCCAGGGTAAATTTTGATGTTCTGATCTCATCTCATCATTGTCTCTTAAGATTATATCCTTACTAACTATATTAAACAACCCAAAAATAAAGAAGTACTTTTTTCAGGTTTCTGATTTTCCCAGTATTGGCTTTATTTCTGTCATATAGGTCACTAGAGACCTGGCCACAAACTTCCCCAAATCATGTCTCAGTGTATCTCTACATGCTGATCCTTCTCCCTCAGATGCTCCTTCCTTCTCCATCTGGATGATGCCCTGAGTCTTTTAGAACTCAGCAACAACAGCAGTTCTTCCTGGAAGGCTTCTCTTTTTAAGAGATCTAAATTAACTTTCCTACCCCTGTGTTCTTCTTGTTTGTTTCATGTGCACAACGTAATGATTTGGTATTTTTATATATTTTGAAATGACCACCACAATAAGTCTAGTTATATACATAGTTACAAATATTTTTTCTTGTGATGAGAACTTGTAAGATGTACTCTTAGCAACTTTCAAATATATCATACAGTATTACCTCTAGTCACCCTATTGTACATCTGCAAGACTTAATACTTATTTTATAACTGGACAGTTGCACCTTTAGGTCCCCACCCCCTCCTCCATGTCTGTCTGGCAATCGCCGGCGTGTTCTCTGAGGCTGAGTTTGGTTTGTTTTTTGTTTTATTTTGGGGTTTTTGTATATAAGTAGGATCATACACTATTTGTCTTTCTCTGTTTGATTTATTTATTCATTTAACATAATGCCCTCAAGATTTCCTTCTTTTTTATGGCTGAATATCTTCTTCCTCTGGTTGTTACAGCACATCCTCGTAAACCTCTCATCATATTGCAGACACTAGAAAATTATTGATTTACTTCTCTGTTATCCTGGGTGAAGATAAGGACGTGTGGTCTGACGTGCATTTCAGCGCTAACTGGCGCTGGCACGCGGCGCTGTCAGGATTACTGGTCAGCGCGCAGTGACTGAGCAGCCGAAGAAGGGAGCGCCCTTCTGCACGGTCCTCCGCGCTCTTCACGTCTTCCCTCGTCTACTTTTATTTTGCTTCTGCTCTTCTTCCACTGTGACTACACTTTTGTAAGATTATAGAAAGAATAGTCTTTGTGACCTTTAATAAGAGTGTTCTTAGATCTACAGATGTTGGAATATGGATTTTGAACCTTAGCAAACAAACTGAAAAAGTTTAAACATTTGTGGGTGGGTGTGGCGAAGACAGAGAGATTTCATTGGTATTTGTTATGAGGGTGGGTACATAAGTGAGGTTAACATATTTTGTTCAAGAACTCTAGACAGATCTGCCCTATTCTAACGGCAACAAAAATCACAGTCTGTCACTGAGATGTTAGGTAACTGGTCTTACTCAACCCTGGAGGTCTCCTGAGATGCCCTTCATAGAAACCAAAGATAAAATCAGTTTAAAAACTTCCAAGCTGCCCTGCCAGTGTGGCTCAGTGGATTGAGCATCAGCCCATGGACTGAGAGGTCCTGGTTTGATTCCTCATCAGGGCACATGCCCAGATTTTGGGCTTGATCCCCAGTAGGGGGTGTGCAGGAGGCAGATGATCGATGTGTCTCTCTCACATTGATGTTTCTATCTCTCTCTCCCTTCCTCTCTCTCTAAAAAAATTAATAAAAACATATTTAAAAAAACAAACTTCCAAGCTTTGTTTATCCCAGATGCTTTTTTTTTTAAATCCTCACCTGAGGACATTTTTTTGTTTTTTGCATTTATCTTCAGACAGAGAGAGGGGAAGAGAAAGAGAGAAACATCAATGTGAGAGAGACAAATTGAGTGGTTGCCACCCACACAACCCCAATCGGGGCGGAGATAAACCGCAACTGAGGCACATGCCCTTAGCAGGAACCGAACCCAGGACTCTCCAGTCTGCAGGCTGATGCTCTAACCACTGAGCAAGACCAGCCAGGGCTATCCCAGCTACTTTTTTTTTTTTAATCCTCATCTGAGGACATTTTTCCATTTTTTGTTCAGATAGAGTGGGAGGGAAGAGAGGAAGAGAGAGAGAGAGAGAAACATCGATGTGAAAGGGACACATCAAGTGACTGTCTCCCACATGACCCAACCAGGGCCGGGGACAAACTGCAACCAAGGTATGTGCCCTTAGCGGGAACCGAACCCAGGTCTCTCTGGACTGCAGGTTGATGCTCTAACTGCTGAGCCAAACTGGCCCGGGTCCAGATACTTTTTACAGCAATATTATGAAATAGTAAAGTTTCTAATACACTGGAACTTTTATTCCAGTAGTAGCTACTAATAAATGTCAGTCTCTGATCCTCATCCTCCTTTCTAAAGTACCCAAAGAGCCCTGGCCAGTTTGCTCAGTGGTTAGAGCGTCGGCCTGCGGTCCGGAGAGACCCGGGTTCGGTTCCCGCTAAGGGCACGTACTTCGGTTGCAGTTTGTCCCCGGCCCTGGTTGGTCGTGTGGGTGGCAGCCACTCCATGTGTCCCTTCACGTCGATGTTTCTCACTCTCTCTCCCTTCCTCCCTCTCCCTCCCACTCTAACTGTACAAAAAATGGAAAAATATCCTCGGGTGAGGATAAAAAAAAAACAAACAAAAATAAAGTACCCAAAGACCTACATTTCTTTGAAATTTCTCTCAGGATCAAAGTCACTGATAAGGAATAGGCCCAAATGTTGTGTCAGTCACCAGACTTGCAGACCTTCTCTTCAGATGCCAGGGAATTAATTCTCCTTTTTAGCACTTACACTTTCTTTGAGAATGAGATGCTTTTGACTGCACTCCAGCTGTTGATTATAGAGAATGTTCTCTGTGAACTTCTGAGGGCCATGATACCCCATGCACAGGGAGTCAGGGACCAGTCCATGGGCACAGTGTCCTCAGCAGAGATCCTTTTCCTAGGAACACTGAAGTGCTGTCTCTTCTTCGCTTTGCTGGAGAGGAGTATTCTAGACCTTTCTAGAGGGGTGAGGAACACCTTAGCAGGCATTTTGAGCAGTATACTAGCGGACCAGCGTGGATAGGAGCTAAATCAAGAGCTGGAAACCAGTTCATCAACCTTAAGATTCTTAGCAGAAATTCTCCAGTCCCAATCTGAATCCAATTAAAGTGGCAATAATTGATTTGATGTAACTTAGTGACACTGTTTACTGTAATATTAAATAGATATTAATGTATGGAAAAGTTTTGAAAACAAACAAAATATAAAGGTAATGGAAGAAATGGCTGCAATGCTTAATTTCCTTATTTGAAAAACAGGTCCCCCTTTACAGCTCTAGATTCAGCTATGGGAAATGCAGTGAATTTTCATTGAATGATCGCATCACACCCTGTGGGTGCAGGCTTCCCTATAGCCTGCACACAGCTTCAGTTACCTGTGACAGAAGTTACTTAAGGAAATGCTTGTCCCTCTAAGCATTTTAGAGGGAAATGGACTTAGTAACCCTTCAGTATTTAAATGTACCAGGCCTGTTTTCCAGAATTCCTCTTGCTTAAGGAAATGAAAGCAGAATTGTTTGCTGCCAAATCTTTAGAAGCTTAAGAGAAATGAGGCTATATTTACTGGTTCACTTTCCTGATTTCTTTGCAGTCAAACATCCTTGAACCCAGGACCTCAGAGATTCTGCCAATAGCACATTCTTGATAGTGGATTGTTTAGAGAGTTTCCAAAAACAAAACAAAACTGCACTCTAATACCTTTTTTCTTTATCTTTTCAGGAGCTTCTAAAGGCCTTTGATGATGAAATCAATGCTTTTTTGGACAATATGTTTGGACCTCGAGGTGAGTGAACTCCTCAAGGACTTAATGTGGAAGGAACACAGTATTTTGTTACAGAAGAGGATCATGTCACTTCTGGTGTCTTGAAAATAGTGTGGTTCTTAACATTTGGAGGCTTAACCTCCCTCACCTTTGACATCCTTCTTCCAGAACTCCCAGAAGGCCTCATTGCCCCTGGGATTAAGCTCTGGGAGCAGGAAGCAGGACTAGAATGCAGTGTGGTGCTTTCCTTGGGTGTCTCTCTGGCTACTAGAGTTACCCCAAAACTGGCTACCGGAGTAGGTCGTAGCTTTCCTTCTGAGTGAATGCTACTTCTGTCCTCGCTCCACCGCCCGTTTACCTTCCACCTTCCTCACTTGCAGCCATACATAGTCTTTCTGCCCTTAGGTGACTTGATAAGTTCTCTTTAAAGATGTGTGAGCTTCCTCTGCCCAGGTCCAGCAGGGTGAGCTTCTAATGCTCAGTCATTCTGAGTCTCCATCATTGCTCCGTCACCAGTCACTTAGACCACTTCAGCGTATTCAATGACTCTTTCCTCCCATTCAGCAACGAGTGGTTGTAAGGGCTCCTCCCCTCTTCCAATCATTTATTAAGTATCAGCTGGAATAATACTTTAAAAGCCTGAGTCATAGTATGTGGTAGTCTAGCTTAATACTCCATGCACTTCAGATGAAAACGAGCTTTCTGATACGGACCGCGTGCCCCTGTGTTGTTAGCCCCAGCTGTCCCCACACCAGTGCCACTCTTCCCCACACACCGATGGCTGATGTCTTTTACTTCCTCAGATACGTAAAGCTCTCCCGCATGCTGCTCCTTGAGCCTAGACTTTCTCCCCACCATCTTCTACTCCATCCCCCAGTTTAATGAGCCCCTTCTCATACTGTGGGTATCAGCTCAAAAGTTACCTTTCTCCCTAACAAAGGTGTCAGGGAATGTGCCCCTCTAAAGTAGGCCCCTTATTATACTCTATTTCAATCTCTGTTTATTTCCTTCATATACTTTATTGTTATTAATAGCTCTTCCTCCCATGAGGGCAGGAACCGTGACTGTTCTTTCCAGTGCTTATTATAGTTCCAGGAACATATTAGGCACTATATATTTTCAAATAAATGAATAATTTCTAAACAACAATAATTTTTACTTGGACCTTGCTGGATCGCAAAGCTGTGAAAAATCTACAAATTATTTCCCCAGCACTGTTGGTGGTGTGGGGAGGGGATGAGAAGGTTTTTCTTTTTCTCAAAATCTTTAAACAGAATCACTTAGAGATTATTTGGACCACTCTCCAGTTTCTGTTCTCAGTGAATAACTGTTTACACAGTTTTAATAAAATGATACCGTGTGATTGTGTAGAACTTAAAAAAGAATACTTTTACATAGTCTTGGGTTGTGTTTTGTTCTTTCCATTTTGTCCTTGTGGTTATCCTGTGGGGTAGGCAGGTGGGTACCAGTATCTTGTAACCTGCTTTACCTGGTGAGCCTGCCTTCCAGGTGCAGTGGGTGGTGTAGCAGGCTTGGCGCTCTCACTTAGACATGCCTGGTCTCTTGGTGACTGTGGTGTTCTGGTGGACACTTGCAGCAGAGAGTAAATAACCGTCTCTCCGAGCCAGCCTCACCCTGACCTTTGCCATCGGTGAGATCACCCTGATCTGGAGTTATGTGGATGTGGGATCAATTAAGGATAGGATCACAGTTGTTTACTCAGCTTTCATCATGTTTATGGAGGTTTCCTTTAGGGCAGAGAGACTGTAAGGTTGTCATTTGACAACTGGTTCAGTTGACCCCACAGTGACATCTAGGCCATCACGAATCCTTGTCCTCTTCCTAAAGGTGGCACACACTTAAGTTGACTGGCCACCACCTGGTAAGCTTCTAGGTTTCTCCGATCCTCTGTCCTCTCGCCTTCACCATATCAGTACTGGCAAGGGCCGGGGTTCTGGGCAGATAGCTGACACAGATGCAGGGCTCACACTTCTCAATCCCCAGAGATGATAATGTTCTTATAGGTACTTGCTCCCATCTTTCAGTTGGGTCAGTTATGATCCTCTGTATCAATTATAGCAAATATTTATAGGACCATGACATAAGAAAACAAAAACTTCAGGTGCTGTATTAGTTTTCAATATGTGCCCATTAGTTTTCAATATGACTCAGTGTGCCAGTTAATAATATATATTTAATAACTGTTTCCTCTCAACTCAGCACTATGTGGATGTAAGTTGTGAGACAGAGTAGAAATATAAGACCTGGTTTCTGTCTCATAGAGCATATACTATAGTTGAAAAGATGACAGTAGCACATCTGAAACCACTGGAAAGCCGTCAGGTAAACCATGTGTATTAGTTTCCTACGGCTGCAGTCACAGCTACACGGCTTAACACAGCCGTGGTTTCTTCTCTCACAGTCTGGATGCTACAGGTTCCAAATCAGGATGTTTGCAGGCCCGTGTTCCCTCCCAGGTTCCAGGAAACAACCCTTCGGAGCCTCCCTCCTAACTCCGGTGCTTGCCAGCAGTCTTTGGCAGTGCTTGGCTGGTTGGTGCACTGCTCCGGTCTCTGTCTCTGTCTTCACATAGTGTCCTCTCCGTGTCCCTGAATCCAAACCTCCTCTTCTTATAGAGACACCAGTCACCTGGTCGGGGCCCCTAATCCAGTAGGACCTCATCTTAACTTGTTTACATCTGCAAAGACCCTCATTTCCAAAAAAGGTCAATTCACAGGCTCTAGGAGTTAGGACTTGAACATATCTTTTTGGGGGACACAGTTTAATCCATAGCACCATATCAGGAGGTCGGGGAGCAATTTAGTGCAAGTTAACATTTTACCCTTTGTAGCTCAAGTTTTCTCAAATATAAACTGGGATAACAATATCACCTATGTCTGTTACCCTGGCTGTGATGGTGGCATATGTCCAAACTCATCAAATTGTACACATTAAATCTGCACCGTGGCCGGTTTGGCTCAGTGGTTAGAACATTGGCCTGCGGTCCAGAGAGACCCACTAGGGGCACATACCTTGGTTGCAGTTTGTCCCCAGCCCTGGTTGGGTCGTGTGGGTGGCAACCACTCCATGTGTCCCTTTCACATCAATGTTTCTCTCTGTCTCCCTCCCTCCCACTCTATCTGAACAAAAAATGGAAAAATGTCCTTGGGTGAGGATTTTAAATAAATAAATAAATAAATAAATAAATCTGCATAGGACTGTGTATCAGTAATATCTCAGTCAAGCTATTAAAAATAATGTCACCACTGCCCTGGCCAGTTTGGCTCAGTGTTTGGAGCATTGGCCTCTGGTCCAGAGAGACCTGGGTTTGGTTCCCACTAAGGTCCAGAGAGTCCCGGGTTTGGTTCCCACTAAGGTCCAGAAAGTCCAGGTTTGGTTCCCGCTAAGGTCCAGAGAGTCCGGGTTTGGCTCCCGCTAAGGTCCAGAGAGTCTGGGTTTGGTTCCCGCTAAGGTCCAGAGAGTCCGGGTTTGGCTCCCGCTAAGGTCCAGAGAGTCCGGGTTTGGTTCCCGCTAAGGGCATGTACCTTGGTTGTGGTTTGTCCCCATCCTGGTTGGGGTCGTGTGGGTGGCAGCCACTCGATGTGTCTCTCTCACATCAATGTTTCTCTCTTCCTTCCTCTTCCTCTCTCCCTCTCGCTCTATCTGAGATGAATGTAAAAGTGTCCTCGGGTGAGGAAAAATAATAATAATGTCACCTACATAATAAGCTTGTTTTGAGAGTTAAATAAGTTAACACATGTGAAAGGCTTTGGAACAGTGTGTGGCACAGAGTCAGCGCTCAGTAAGTGCTGGCTGTGATAGCAGCGTTACAGCCGAGACAACACGCGTCATAAACGGGATCATCCACACTGGCGAGGAGCTGGCTCCCTCCAGAGGGCAGCCGGAAGACGGGAGGGTTTCGCCGAGGGGACAGCCACTAGGAAGTGGCACAGACATTCGTGGCACGGTCACCAGCTAGTCTCTGGAAGGTAGTGTCTGTTAGTCACCTGAATGTTCCTTTCTTACCTGTTTTCTCTTTATCACAAATGGGGGGAGTTTCTAGAATTAGATTTGGGACAGAACTTGAAAAGATACTTTTCTTGGAAATGGCACTCTGGGGATGGGTGGGTTAGAGGCTGGGGGCACCGGGTGGGATAGAGCAGAAAGAGGGGCTGAGGCTAGGAGAGCCACCGAGGTCAAGTAAAGGGCGTTATCGTGGGGAGAACCCAGCTCTGTAGGACGCTTTCCAGCAGGCCATTTCTATCATTCTGGGCAATTCATTTTCTTTATTTAAACAACAACAAAAAAAGCAAAATAGAGAACAAAAATCATTTTATGCTTATAATGTTTTTCAGATGCTACTAATTATATTATAGATCTGTGTGTTTTATTTATTATTATTATTTATTTTTAATCCTTACCTGAGGATATGATTTATTGATTTTGGAGAGAAAGGAGGGGAAAGGGAGAGAAAGAGAGAAACATTGATGTAAAAGTGATCAGTTGCCTCCCCTACGAGCCCTGACTGGGAAGCAGACCAGCAACCTTTTGGTGTACTGGACAACGCTCCAACCATCTGTGCCTCACTGTCCAGGGCTATTAAGTCTGTTTTACCTATGATTTTAAATTACCACTCTCCAAAGTAAGGGACAGGTGATATATCTGGATTTTTGCCTCCTGGCTGTGTGTACTCCTAGTCCCTGATCACAGTTCGGGTCCTTGGCTTTATTTTCTGCTCTGTTCTGAATCATCAGCTCCAAGGCTTTGCTGTTATTGTCTCAGCTCTCATGCTTGCCATTCTGAAATGCCATTGCTCTCTCTGGACCATCTGAACTCTAAACCCATTCTTGGTTTGCTGCACAGAGATCCTAGGCAAGTTCTGGCCAGTGGGGTTTTAGGAAATAGGAGACAGTATCAATGTGTTTTCTCTCCTGGCTCCTCGAAACTTCTCCCTAGGAGGCAGCAGTAAGGTATGACTGACTAAGCATCAGATGTGAATTCAAATCCTGACTCTGTTGCTGACTACTATACAGCCTTTTGCAAGTTACTCAAGCTTTCTGAGCTTTTTTCTATCTATAAAATGGCATAACAGACTTCTTATTTACCAAGTTAGAGTCCATAAACGTAACTATTCCAAAGTAAACATTCCAGACTGTTAACTTCCCACCTTCGTTAATGTTTCCTGTCGTTCAGCATTCGTCTTAAGCCCTGTTTGCTCCATGAAAACTTCTTCAACCACCCCAACCCCACTGGTTTCTTCTTCCGAACAGTGGCCCAAATCCAGCTTCCTTAATGCCGTGTCCTGTTGTTCCCTGTGGTATTTGGCATGTACAACTAAAATGTGTGTGCCGGTACCTTATAACTGGCAGAGTGTCGCTCTTCAAGGTTCTCACTCTATGTGCTTCTCCCCAGATTCTCGAGTCAGAGGATGGTTCATGCTGGACTCTTACCTCCCTACCTTTTCCCTCACTGCCGTCTATCTGCTTTCCATATGGCTGGGTAACAAATACATGAAGAACAGACCTGCTCTTTCCCTCAGGGGAATCCTCACCTTGTATAACCTCGGAATCACACTGCTGTCCGTGTACATGCTGGTGGAGGTAAGTGCTGATGCAGCCAGCCCTCCGGCCCGTCACTCAGGGACCATAGGGGCGCTCAGGCCCAGTGTTCCAGAGCCCCCGGTGGCTCTCAGTGCCTCCGCGTTCTTGACCTTGACCATCTCAAGAACCTGTTCGAACATGTGATAATGATTCCTTCCAAAAGCCCTAGTCTAACTTGGATTTTTTTCATCTAAATTTAGACCTATTTCTCTAGTCCTTAGTCTTTTTCATTGTAATTTAAAATCACACTTTAGATCTGAATGGGCGTTTAAAGTTCATATGTATAATTTTCTCCTTTTATGGATTATGATACTGAAGCTTAGAAAAGTTACACAATTTTCCTGAGGACAGACAGCTGTTGAGTAACAGCATTTTTAAAATTAAATACCAAATGTGTTAGTTTGACTGAAACACAAGTACACGGTCCCCTAAAGAATACCTCCCGCACCTTCAGGCCGCTGCCAGTGGGCCAGCTGCTTCTCAGGCTGACTCGAGGCCCAGCTCCGGCTGCCCGCATTACAGCATGTGCCCCACTCCTCTGTGCAGTGCCAAACCCAAGTACTTTTACAGAAAAAAGTAACTGTCCTGCCTATTCAACCTAAGGCCTGACAGTCAGGGTGAGGGGGAGAGGAAAGGGAAGAGGAGGCAGGGAGTGAGGGAGGGAGATAAACAGAAAACCTTTTTTAGGGAAAAATTAAGATAAAATCATAAATGGTTGTTGATGGCACACATATAGCTACTTTCCTGGTGTCCTTGAATTCTAACAGTATAAATAAATCCCTAAAGAACAGGTGGTCTCACCTATAGAGTTCAGTTTGTGCCTCAGTCTAGAATGTACTATTCTGACAATGGTAAACAGTCGTTACCTAAAATGACTGGAATACAACTAACGGTGGAATCCGGGGCGTCGGCCGGAGTGCGGGACATGGGGTTTGGGTCAGGAAAGCCTACTCCTAGGTGCTCACTGGTTCACCTGGCAACGAAAGGGGAAGTTTCATTTTAGGTTCTCTACTAGGTGAATTCTAGTTCACTGATGAGCTTTCAAGATAGTAATTTGTAGAGTTAGTTTCCCTGTATAACAAAAGGAAAGATGCTCTGCATTGGATTGGTGTCAGAAGTAACAGCTTTGTCAGGAGGGCCTGCTCCAGCACCGCCGGAAGCTTCGGTGCAGGGGAGTCAGGAGACCCAAATTCTCAGAGAGAAACTGTGAAATGGAGACATGATATTTGTCCAGCTGAGCTCCTGAGTGAGAAGGGAGAAATCTCTTTTGTAGAATTTTCCACAAAGAATTTAAAAAGTTTGTTTTGTGGAAAGAACACTAGATAAGGAATTAAAAGGTCTGAATTCCAACCATTGTTCTACTTTCTAGCCATGTGATCTTGAAGAGAACATTTACTTATGTACTTATTGAGTACTTTTTATGTGCTCAGCATTGAGCAGGGAACTGTAGATAGAGAGATGAACAAAAAAGGCATAGATTTTATGGAGCTTTTTGTTTTTTGAACAAAGGGAATACAGACATTAATCAGTTATAGTCACACAAATAATTACCGAGTAGCATAAATTAATGAAGACATGACTTAACCTTTCTGAGCCCTCGTTTTCATATCTGTAACATGATAAATACATACTTAATGCAATTATTGAGATGATCAAATAAGGTAAATATTTATATATAAGCCAATATAGAGTACTATTAAATCTTAGTGTAGTTTCCTCACATTCGTTTACATTTAATTCTACATTTTACTTATAGAAATATATGACCAAGTAATTCCTTATACAAAATATTTTTTAGATGCTAGCCATTAGAAATATAACCATTAATATCAGTTTATAGAAAAAATTAAATCCTTTGCTAATAAGTGTTTGAGGACAGGATCAAATCAAAGTCAGATTCTGGGAAGTTTCTATTCAAACCCTGAATAGATGCCAATTAGGAACATGAAGGAGAAATTGTTTTTGTTGTGTTTTGTTTTTGTTTGTTTGGGGTTTTTTGTTCATCCTCACCCAAGGATATTTTTCCATTGATTTTAGAGAGAGTGGAAGGAAGGGAGGAAGAGGGTGAGAGAGAGAGAGAAATATCCACGTGAAAGAGAGAGACATTGATTGGTTGCCTCCTGCTCCTGCCGGTGGCTTCCAGGACGGGGGAATGAAGCCGCAACGCAAGCTCATACCCTTGACCAGGAATTGAACCTGAGACCCTCAGTGTGCCGGCTGATGCTCTAACCACGGAGCACATGGGCCAAGGTGGGAAATTGTTTTCATCCAAATTCTTGTGTTGATCCCTCCGCCTTTCATGTTTCTTCGGCAGCTCATTCTCTCCAGCTGGGAAGGAGGCTACAACTTGCAATGTCAGGACCTTGCCAGTGCAGGGGAGGCCGATGTCCGGGTGAGTCATGGGAAGCAAACCGACCATCTGTAACCACTTCTCACCGAAAAGGAGGGAAGGCTTTATCCTTGTAGATATGAGGATGGGGGCTGGGGTTAGATAAGAAAGGAACCGCTGTTCTAACAGAAATGTTTGGTAGCAAAAATGTTCCCAGTTGTCCGGCTGTGGGAGACTGACTGAAGAAACTGCCCTGCATCCATGTAGTGGGTCCCTTTCAGAACGAATGAGGTCCCTGTGCTGGAACAGTCGTCGCCAGGATATGTCTGAGTGAGAAGCAGCAGCCTGTATAACCCTGGTTTATACTGCAGTTGCTTTTGTGCAAGAAATGATACGAATAGATGTGTGTATTGCTTATGTTTTTAAAAAGAAACAATGGCGGGATAAACCAAAAGCTAACAAAGTGGTTTCCTTTTGGGGTAGGGACAAGGCAGAGGGACAGGACAGAAGCCAGACTTCTCTGAATGTGCATTGTGTTACATTTGACTTGGGAACCATTAAGAGTTTTATAGCATTATAAAACAAAATTTAATCTGAAAAGAAAGCAGGGCAGCTCCCCAGAAAACTTGGAAATAAACTAAAATAAATCAATATATCCATATAGAAGTTGGTGACACAACCACCCAAATGAGAATTATTTCAAGTAACATAAAATCCAGTGATTTGACTAGACATCACTAATGTGATATATCTTAACAGTATTCAGCAATTTTTTGGTTACTATTAATAAAAATATTGATACTGCTTTTTTGAGACTGTTACAGGTACACTGTAGAATAAAATAAGTATACAGTAATATTAATATCATTACAACTAATATTTAAACATAAAAGAGAGGAAATATCAATTAAAAAGTTAAATGAAATCCCATAATCATAGATTCACATTGGAAATATCAGAACTCTGTTCTTTCTAAAGCAAACATGTTTCAGCTCTCTGTACAGACAAGGCCTAGTTCGTCTGTAGCAGTGCAGTGCGCAGCGAATCCCCAGACTGTGTTCTCTAATACTACAGTTTCCACCAGAAGGGACAGGGTCCTTAGAGAATTGGACAGTTTGGGTTTGGGGAGGATCCAGGCCCTCTCGTGACAGAGCAAGGGAATGCCCATGACTGCGGGAGCCTTGGCAGGAGCCCCAGGAGCCAGCTTGAAAGGATTTCTTCTGCTGAATGCGGGACACTGAGTATCAAAAAGAATACTGTCTGGAGTGGATTGAAACATGTTGAATTTATTTTAAAAACCACGAGTTTAAAATGATACTAAAAACAACCCTTGCCCTGGCCGGTTTGGCTCAGCGGTTGGAGTGTCGGCCTGCGGTCCAGAGAGACCCGGGTTCGGTTCCCGCTAAGGGCATGTACCTCGGTTGCAGTTTGTCCCCGGCCTTGGTTGGTCGTGCAGGTGGCAGCCACTCGATGTGTTCCTTCACATCGATGTTTCTCTCTCTCTCTCTCTCCCTCCTGCTCTATCTGAACAAAAAATGGAAAAATGTCCTCAGGTGAGGATAAAAAAACAAACAAACAAAAAAAAACAACCCTCATTGTTTTCTGAAGGTTGCTAGAACACCAACTCATTGTAGAGAAAAATTAAAGAGAAAGAATCAAACATTTTCTTGCCTTTCGTATGTGCATCTCTAAACAAAGAAGAAGAGTTCTCTGTGGAAGAAAAGAAAGAATGAATGAGGAACAAGAAAATTAAAGCCACCTATTTGCAACTCCTAATGAAGTCACAGATCTAGCCAGCAGTGGTCTGTAAATGGTAAAAATGTTCGGCGAAAGTTGAATGAAAACTGCAATGATTGGATTAGGCTGTTAACACCTGACCTCACTGTACACAAATATCAGAAATTATGTCCCTCTTTTTCGTGGCACCTGGAGGCAGTCGGCTGCTTCAGGATGAAACTGAACATTTCTTTCCAGCCTCTGGCTGCCAGAAACTCATTGAAGTGGACAATGAACGCCAATTCCGTAGCTTTTATGAGAAGTGTGTGGCCACAGAAGTTGCTGCTGATGCTCTGAGAGAAGGGAAGGGTTATGTGGTTCAAATCAATGGTAGTTATGACTCAGTTTCCCCATTGAGCAGGTGTCTTGACCCTTGGCCATGTCTGCGGCTATTGAGTAAGGGACATTCCTGTTATAGACCAAGAAAAACGGAGAGAGGAAGCACAAGTCTGTTCAGGGTGGCATTGTGGATGCCAGTCTGAGTGTTCTCAAGTTGGTCATTGTGAAAAATGACCAAGAGAAAGATTCCTGCAGAAAGATGTCCCTGGTCTCACAGATACTACTGTGCCTTATCGCCTGGGGCCCAAAAGAGTCAGCAGAAGGCGCAAACTTTTCAGTCTCCAAAGAAGATGACGTCGCCAATATGTGGTGAGAAAGAAACCTGGGACCAAAGCACCCGAGATTCAGCGTCTTGTTGCTCCACGTGTCCTGCAGCACAAACGCCGGGCATTGCTCTGAAGAATCAGCGCAGTAAGAAAAATAAAGAAGAGGCTGCAGAATATGCTGAACTTCTGGCCAAAGAAACACTCCAGGGACAGACGGCCAGGAGACAGGCTGTCCTCTCTGAGAGCTTCCACCTCTGAGTCTGAGTCCAGTCAAAAGGGAGCTTTTCTAAGAGCAACAAATAAATGAGAACAGACATCAGAAAAAAAGGAAGGAAAGGGAAGAAAAATGAACCATGTCCCTTTTGATGTGATCTGATAGGAAGTACACAGAACCACCTATGAAGGATTCTTGCCCCAAACCCGAAACATGAGTCCAATCCTCTAAATCTAAGTGCTAGTTACAGAAAATGTGGGGGATAGAGAAACAAGTACATGACACCAGGAAAAAACAATCACCCAAATTTATAATATTAGAATTCTCTACAACAACTGATCTAGCTTTTTAAAGAATAAAACACATGAAAGAAAAGGGGGAAGCAAGGAGAGAGAGTTATTGGTTAGAAGGGACTGAAGAATCATATCAAACAAATGCAAGCTGGACCTTGTTTAGATCCTGATTTAAACAAATTATTTATGAAGATAAATTTTTGAGATGGAGAGGTTTTAACATGGACTAGGCTATTAGAAGATATTAAGCAATTGTTAATTTTATTAGCTAATGGCATGGCGGTTATGTTAAAACAAAGAAAATCTCCCTGTTAGTAGTTTTTGTAGATAAAATAATATAATACTTTGTATTTGCTTATATGCTACCCCCTCCCCCCCCCCAAAAAAAGTGGTGAGAAATAGAATTGATTCAACAAATTTGGAATCATAGTAAAAATTTTGAAATTCAGTGATAGAGATCAAGAGGTTTAATATACCTGTTCTTCCTGCACTTGTGAATGTTTGAATATTTCCATAATAAAAACATGGGTTTTAAAAATAAAAACATGGGTTGTTAATAAGGGAGATGGTAGAAAATCTTTTAATTAAAATCTTTAACATGTACATTTTTAAAACCTCTTCAAAGCTATAATACAAAAAAAGTAAGATAGATTTCTCTACACCCATTTTATTTCTAACATCTTATCATAGATCAGTAGAGTCTGGGATGCCATACAATTCTCCAGAGGTCATTGTTGCATGTACGTATTGTATGTAATTATGGTTTAATAGTTTTTTGTTTAACATTTTTGAAGGTTTATTGTTACCTCAAACGTTAAGATGAAAGCCGCCACACCGTATCTCCTTAGAAGTAGACTGAGAGCATGTGCCCTGGTTTCAAAGTTCTTACTCTGCAGTATCTGCTCTTGGGTTTCCATGGTAGCGTCAGGGACTCGAGGGAAAGGAGGGGTAATCGTGACCTACTCCTGTCACTGAGGAAGAAGAGCATCTTGATTTTGAATCTTTTCTCCTAAGGAAGAGACATGAAAGAAGTGGTCGTAGACTACTCCTGGGTAGTCTCATGTCAGAGGCACGGCATGTACGGGAGAGGACTAGATAGAAGGGCAGTCTAGCCTAACAGACAGTGAGCTGTTGAGTGCTGGGCCCTGGGCAAAGGTGAGGCAGGCTCTGCCTTCAAGTGGTTTATAGTCTGTCGGAAAAGATAGATTCATAACACTGACCACACTTTATTATTCATTAAAATAGAAGCATAAAGTAATTCGGGAAAATAAATGAAGAAGCGGTTGATTCTGACTGAGAAAGGAGAGAGGTCAAGTCCCAGAAAAAAGGTGGTTTTTAAGGAGTGTGAATCGGTTCTGTAGGTGCAGAGGAGTAACTTGCCCGGCCTTGTGTTTTGGAAGGAGAAGACTAGAGCAGCTTGCAGGGAATACGGACAGGCGGGCAGAGCCGCCGGGTGGGTGCTGCCCCGCGCCGCCCCAGAGAAGGGTGCGGGACGTGCCGGGTGCACGGTGCCGAGGGAGGGCCGCGCGGGCCGTTGCCACTGCTCACCTTTTATTTTTCCCATTTTATAATTTTTACAGGTAGCCAAGGTGTTATGGTGGTACTACTTCTCCAAATTAATAGAGTTCGTGGACACAATTTTCTTTGTTTTGCGGAAAAAAACCAGTCAGATTACTTTTCTACATGTGTATCATCATGCCTCTATGTTTAACATCTGGTGGTGTGTTTTGAACTGGATACCTTGTGGGCAAAGTAAGTTCTTTTGTTCATATTTCAGTTCTGTGTAATGGATCTTGCAAGACCCCTGCGTGTCCCTTGTGTGGAGCATCGCGTGCAGGTCAGGAAGGGCAAGGAGCATGGCCGCATGAGGGCCCACGGTGTCACACAGGCAGCATGTGTGTGCCAGTGGCCCTTTGGTTCTGGTCTTTGATACCGGCAAAGTCTGAGTGTTACCTTAAATTTTAAAAATATCTTCTTGCTCGGCTGGGGTGGCTCAGTGGATTGAGTGGCATCCCATGGACTGAGAGGTCCTGGTTCAAGTCCCAGTCAGGGCACATGCTGGGATTGTGGGCTCGATCCCCACTGGGGGAGGCAGCCAATCAGTGTTTCTCTCTCTCCCTTCCTCTCTCTCTAAAGAAAAATCAATAAAAACAGTAAAAAAATAATAATAATAAAATAAAAATGTTTTCTTTTCCATGCACCAAATGTCCAGTTGCCAGAAGCACATATCCTGGTGGGAGCAGTTTTACTCCAATACCTGGGGCTGAAGATTTTTTAAATTTTTTATTCTCACCTGAGGACATTTTTGCATTTATCTTCAGATAGAGCAGGAGGGAGAGAGGGAAGAAGAGAGAGAGAAAAAGAAACATCGATGTGAGAGAGACACATCAAGTGGTCGCCACCCACACAACCCCAACCAGGGCCGGGGACAAACTACAACCGAGGTAGGTGGACAAACTACAACCGAGGTACGTGCCCTTAGCAGGAACTGAACTCGGGTCTCTCTGGACCACAGGCCAATGCTCTAACCGCTGAGCCAAACCAGCCAGGGCATGGAGCTGAAGATTTGATAAAACATAGCACCTTCCACAGTCACCACTTGGCTGTGGTATGGAATGAATCGTTTCAACTTTTAGGGGTTGTTTTTCTATTCTGAAAAATTAGGGCCACATTGCTAACCTCCCAGAGTATTGGCTTTTTTTTGTTGTTGTTTTTTTTACTAATAATATGTTTCATATCACAAGCCATTCATTCATATGTATATATTTAAATGAAACAAAAATTTCATGAGGCAATATTTAGCCTGGCTGTTTTCTGTTTTATCAAATTCTGTTTTATTTTTTCAAAACGCTGATGACAATCTGACTGCGTTGATTTACTAATGGGTCCATTGTGACCTGCAGCTGGGGAAACCCTGAGCTAGAGACAGCACTTTCCGTTCAATATTGTCTTGTACCCAAGGGTTAAAAATATTCTATGAAAAATCAGAACAGGTAAAACTTAAGTCAAGATGATTTTGTCCTACGATTTAGGACCTTAAAACACCAAGGATATTCGGGCTCTATTAGTGACTGTGAAGATGCAAACTTACACTATTGTGTGAAGGAGGGACTTTCTGGGGGTGTGGTGGGCTGAAAGGGGTGCTGTCACACCTCTGCTAGCCTGACAGAGTCTGGTTTCTTGAGTTTTGTTATTAAGACTATAATAGACTTATACTGTAATTAATATATAGATGATAATCAGCACCAAAGGACAATGATCAAGGTTAAGTATTTTTATGATTGTCAACAGTTTCATTACAAATCTCTAAACATACAAAAGTGAGTCTCAAATAATATTGTGCAAAGACATAGCATTCCTATGAATAAAATATTATGTGTGACAATTTCTATTTAATCTAGAATATTATAAAAATTATAAACAGTAACTATTTATTTTTAACTAATGATGGAACTGAAAACTCAGGTGGGTAAAAAAAATCACTGATGTTGTGCTCTGAAACTATATTTGTGTTTTCACATAAATTCAAGTGCCCTACCAACTTATTCCAGCCAGTGTTTAAGGACTTACTAGATACAGGTGTTGCTCCTTTTGTTTCTTACTCATTTTTTGCATTTATCTATCTAGACCTTTAATCCAGGATTGAGAAACTAGGCTAGAGAATTGAAATTGCCTTTTAGTTTATATAGTATTATATTAGCTCAATCCTACCACAACCTTAAGAAGTAATTATTATTATGCTCATTTTTCAGGTTAGGAAATAAAAATTTACAAAGTCAAAGTAACATATCCAAGGGGATATAGCTAATAGGGGGTCCTCTAGCTCCACAGTCTCTTTTACTACAGGATTAACAGCTCCTAGACCAGCCCTCTGGACCCCAAGCTATCACACAGAACAGTACCCAGCACAGAGTGAACACCAGTAAGCACTTTACACACACTGATTGATTTAATCCTCACAATAGTGAGTTCTCTGTTTCCAACAAATGATCCATCTCTGACATCTTACCTCTTGCAGCTATATCTTTTCAATCCTTAGTTAACCAACATAGAACTTAGTCCTTTTTCCTTGGGGTCCTGCAATACCATCCGTCCACTCTGATGGCAGTTGGGGAGGATTTCATGAAGACTCTGGTAGGGGTTGGAGGGAATGCTTCAGCAGTGTAGTGCAGCAAGTGTCCTAAATAGGGTTTTATTTTTTTCAATAGTGTATTATTGATTTTGAGAGAGAGGGAGGGAGAGAGAGGGAAGCATTGATGTGAGAGCACAACGTCGATTGGCTGCTTCCTGTGTGCCTCCACCAGGGAGTCGAGCCTGCAACCCCAGGAAGCCAACCGACAGCCTCCTGGTGCAAGATGATGGCCAAACAACTGAGTCACACGGGCCAGGGCCTAAAATTGGACTTTAGATATTTTTTGCCCTAAAAGTCCATGAGGTGGCCCAGCTACTGAGGAGGTTTTGTTGGCCCATCTCTCCTCAGTCCCAGCCTTTTCTCATCTTGCTGGCCCTTCTCTCCCCACCATATCCTCTCACCTTCCCCAGAATCGACTGGTTCCTAGGTCCCTCTCAGGTAGATTGTTTTTCCGTAATTATGAAGGGCAGCATATTTTCCTTGACTCTTGAGTAGCCACCTCCAGCCATGTACTGAAGGCTCTCTTACTGCACCAGAATGGCTCGTCAAAGGTTTAGCTAAAGCAGACGCTTCTCTCTCAGAGAGATTCTGCCATTGGCTTTAGGTGAACACTTTTTACTCCCCGATTAGCTGGCAGTAATTAATTAAAGGGACAGTAAAGTCTTTGCAGGTCAGGAATGACCAGTTCGGTTGGCACTGTGAAGCACTCTTCAGTTGGGGCTGTCTAGGTGACTTGCTGAGTCCTGGAGTTATGACAGGCATCAGGTGAGTTTATCAGTGTGAACTGTTAGGGCCATATTGTTACTCATCTTTGTGATGAATGGGAAGGATCTCACTTGCCAAAGAATGAACAGTCTTACTTTCCGAAAGAGCAGTCATTTTTATGTGGTACTTTCGTAGGTTTCTTTGGACCCACTCTGAACAGTTTTATCCACATTCTTATGTATTCCTACTATGGACTGTCTGTGTTTCCATCGATGCACAAGTATCTTTGGTGGAAGAAATACCTCACACAGGCTCAACTGGTACGTCCTCCCTCCTTCAGCTCTTCTCCATGTGAAGCTTCTAAATATTCTCATGCGTGGGGGAGGGATCATAGGAATCCTAGTCTTCTTAGAAATCACAGGCTTTTCCATGGGTGATGAAGCTGTCTCTTTTTCTCTAAAAATCGCCTTTTAAGAATGAAACCTTGTGTGTTAAAACGTCCTTTGTGTAATTAACTTATTCCTTGCTTTGAAATGTAGACAAATACTTTTAAAGTTAATGTTGATGTTAAATCATTTCAACTGCTACTTTTCCATGAGAAAATTAATGAGCAATTATAATACTTACTCAGATAACTTCAAATAAAAATTTTGGATAGGCTAGTGGGCTGCTTTAGCATTTTCTTGTTTTGTTTTATTCCTGCAAAATTTAGGGAGTAATAGTTGATTTCTAAGTATATAAAACTCCACAGCGGTGTGTGTGTGGCTCAGCCTGGTTCCTTCACCATGATGTCCTTTCTGCCACCCTCCCAGCTGCAGTTCGTGCTCACCATCACCCACACCATGAGTGCTGTCGTGAAACCCTGTGGCTTCCCCATGGGGTGTCTCATCTTCCAGTCTTCTTACATGCTTACATTAGTCATCCTGTTCTTAAATTTTTATTTCCAGGTAAGTTAAAGGTAAATATTCAGTGGTAAAACATAAGAGACTGTGCGCTTTTGCATTATGTGTTTGTTTAATTTTACTGATTAACGGTTACAGAAGCACATGTCGATACTTCAGATAGATGCACAGTGTGGAAATGAAACCTGCGTGCCTAACCCTCTCCCAGCGCAGGCGGGCCTCGGAGCACAGCGCTGTGGTCGAGTGGGCATTCTGTTGGACATTTTCCAATGTACGCGTACAGAGTTTAATCAAAAAGAGTATGCATTTGGGTCATATATTTACACTGTGCTACCAAAGTCTGAAGTCAGAAAATTAAACACTGTGTACAGTAAGACAGATCTAGAACTTTATATGAATGAAGAAAAACATGGGCTACATGAATTTGATATGTAATAAGTGCTCTGTATCGGCTACTATAATGACAGTACTTTTTCACTTGAATTGTATTTTGTTTAAATTACTCACTGTTTCTTTGGAAACAATTGTTTTAATGCAAACCAGTGTGCAAAGGCCACATTGACTTTTTCTTGAGTTTTTTTTTTTTTTTTTAATCCTCACCTGAGGATGTATTTTTTTAAATGGTGGTTGTTGGTTTTTTTGTTTTGTTTTTGTTTTTAGAGAGAGGAAGGGAGAGGGAGAGAGAGAGAGAGAAAGAAACATCCACGTAAGAGAGAAACATCCATTGGTTTCCTGCCTCTCGTACGCGCCCCAACATGGGATCGAACCTGCAACCTGGTTAATTGAACCTGTGACCTTTCGGTGTCTGGACGACACTCCAACCAACCGAGCCACCCAGCTAGGGCGAATGTTATTTTCTTTTCAATTAACAATTTAAAGGGAAGAGAGTGTCAAAGTGCAATTTCAGAGCAACTCTGTTATGCAAGAACGGATCAAAGAGGCACCAGCACAGGCCTCAGGTGATCGTATGTTTAAATTGCTCTCCTTTGTGGGCTGCAGAAATAGAAAACTTCATGAAAAAACAAGAACATACATTTATATTCCAACAGTACTTTTGAAATTGTATTCAACTGTACTTATTTTTTTCTTCAGACAAGCAAGTGCCTTCTGACTTTTTAGTTTGCATTTGCTGAAAGTCAGCCCGTAGTAGTTTTATATAAAGTACAACTGTGGGAACTGAACTTTGGACAGCTTTTCAGTTTTTGTGTTTCTGAAAGTGGACTGGCGAGGCTTTGACTGTTGTAAGAGATAAAAGTTTCCTTTGAGAATTTCTAAAGAAATAACCATTGATAGAACCAAACAAAGCCCTGGGGGCGGAGGCTGAATGTGAAGGGCTAGCTAAGGGAGTCATTTTAGTGTTGAAACTTGAAGAGAAGCTGATGGCCCAGCAGGGGTCGCCAGTGGCGCTCAGAGTTCTAATTGCTTGTTGGTTCAGTTGAATCTTAGTCTCTTAAAGTTGAGTATATTCTTTTAGTCTTAACCCTTAATACCATTGCTTTAAAAAATAAAAATGGTAAAAGTGAAATGAGGTCAGATATTTTGTCAAAATAGCAAAGATATACCAAAATCCAAATCAAGCCAAAGTCCCAGGTACTAGTACTTTCAAAATAACAGTACTTTTGTCTAGCTGGTGTGGCTCAGTGGTTGAGCGTCCACCCACGCACCAAGAGGTCACCAGTTCAATTCCTGGTCAGGGCACATACCCAGGTTGTGGGCCCAATCCCCAGTGGTGGGCATGCAGGAGGCAGCTAATCGATGTTCTCTCTCATTGATGTTTCTATCTCTCTCTTCCTCTCTCTCTAAAACCAATTTTTTAAAAATGACAGTACTTTTTCACTTGAATTGTGTTTTTTTTAAATTACATCCTTAAGTCATGGGGATGTAATGCACAGCATGGTGACTGTAGACTGTAGTCAATAATAAATACTGTGTTGCATATTTGCAAGTTGCTAAGAGAGATCTTAAAAGTTCTCATCACAAGAAAAAAGTCTGTGTGGTAATGGATGTGAACTAGACTTATTATGGTGATAATTTCACAATATATGCAAATATCGAATCATGTTGTACACCTGAAACTAAGATAATGTATGTCAATTATACCTCAATTAAAATTATATATCCTTTCCAAGTAAGCAACTATTGCAGAATAAGTTGCATGCTAATCCCATAATACATAAATACTATGCTGATAAGGTGCAAGAGACAACCTTTCCTTAGAATTCATACATATGTCCTGTTTCACCCTATTTTTATTTTTAACCAGAAGCTTTAAAATTGTCATATTAAAAGCAAAAATTCTTTTTTTTTTTTTTTTATCCTCACCCGAGGATATTTTTCCATTTTTTGTACAGATAGAATGGGAGGGAGAGAGAGGAAGGGAGAGAGAGTGAGAAACATCGATGTGAAGGGACACATCAAATGGCTGCCACCCGCACGACCAACCAGGGCCCCAGGGCCGGGGACAAACTGCAACCGAGGTACGTGCCCTTAGCAGGAACCGAACCTGGGTCTCTCCGGACCGCAGGCCGGCGCTCTAACCGCTGAGCCAAACCGGCCAGGGCAAAAGCAAGAATTCTTATTAGAAAGTCCAGTCCCCAAGAAAATCATTCACTGTCTGAGAATATATGCCACTTTAGAGACAAGGTCTTATTAAAGAATCCTTTTTTCTTTCTTTTTCTCTTCAAAATGTACACATCCAACAGACATATCGAAAAAAGCCAATGAAGAAAGAGATGGAAGAGTCCCCAGCAGGGAAAGAAGTTAAGAATGGATTTTCCAAAGCCTACTTCCCGGCAGCTAACGGAGTGATCAGCAAGAAGACCCAGTAACCACCGGGCAGCAGACAGTCTTAACAGATGGGCTTGCTCTTAAGGCAAAGACTGAATTGAAAGTTATATGTGCTTTAGCATAAACTAATTTCTTTTGAGTTTATAAATCATTTGTGCCCAGAATGTATTAATATCTTGCTATTAGGTTAATCTGTTAATTGAGTGTTTCTGTCAGCATTGAGGTGAGGCTGGAACCTATAGATCTCAGAACTGGTGCAGCTTCTCCCTCCTCCCCCCAGACATCCCCTCACCAGAAACGGGCTTCATGACGCCTCCCACACAGCCAGGAAGCTGGGGCACTGTTTGTCACAGCAAGTCTTCAAAGAAACAGTTAAGAGTTTTGTTCACGTGAAAACCTTTAAAAGAAAATGTAAATTATCTCCTAAATACAGGGTATGTTCTAATCCATATTAAGCAATAATTGTCAGTGCATAAAGTAATTAGTCCCTCTGTTCCTTTAGGGTTCAACCCCAGAAGATATTAAAATGGGATTATAAATGGAAAATCGAGCAAAACTTTTCTCTCTCTCAAGCTGTGTGTCTGTCAGATTCCCATGACCACTCCCAGTTTCAACATAGTGATATGGTAATGAAATGTGTATTTTACTTTGAAGATTAGTTTTTCTAAGAAGAAAAAAATATTCTGCCAAACCCTCACAGCTCGGGGGCTTGAAGAGTTGTTCATCAGTTTTAATTTGGTCTCCTCAGTCAGATCTACCTCCTGTGAAGTTGCCCCAGGTTAGGGTAGAGACACACAATGCTCAGTGCTCAAAACAGGTCTACACCTGGCTGCCCGTTTGTTTCTGAACAAGGATTTGAGTCCAGTCTTCCCCTGTCCTTAGAATGATAAGCCCTTGGGACATTTGTAAATCAGAATTCACAGAGCAGTGGGCGAAAAGAGACATTGAATTTGTCAACTGTTTCTTGTGAACCTGTCTGGAATATTATTCCCCTGTACCTGCTATCACTCTTCGCAGGTTAAGTTTTTGAAAATAGCAACTAAAAATCGGAGGACTAGAGAAAGATTTCAACACTGAGCCACGAGCTGGTAATGAGCCACCCTGAAAAGTGCCTATTTGGCAAACTCAGCCTCTTTTCCGGGCTCTGCAGAGCAATCGGGACCAAGAATCAAGCACAAAAGCACAGGAAGTCGTTGATGGATCTTCCTTTCCCCTCTAGGATGGGGCTGTTACTCACTGTCACATTGTACCAGGAGTGCAAACAGGATATTTTCTGAAGCTTTGATGATGATCTTCACCCTATAAAAGTATTATTTACCCCATACCTTGTTTTTGAAATACGTTGTAGTTCACAACGTTGACATCAAATGCTTAAGTGCCAGAAGGGCACTGTCACCGTTGCCCATCACATCCCAGTCTATCGGGGGTGCCTTCCTGTCCTTGGCTTTTTATTTTCCCGAGCTCTAGTTTTTAAGTTATTTTTCCTGTTTAGAAAATAAAAACACTGACTTTTATACTGACCTTGTACACTGACATCGTGCTGACTTTTCTGTCTTTCATGTAAACAACCCACTCAGGGTTCTGGGTTCTGGCCCACCTTTGGAAAGTGACTGGCCTTAGGCCAGTCTTCCTGGTGAAAGTGTTGGGCCCTGGAACATTTTCTTCTCTACTTGTCGATCCGTTTCTATTGAACAGACACCTCTAGATAATGCCCACTTACCCTTGGAATTATTTTTCTAAATAGTTTTCTAATACTGACTTGCTCTAGGGTGCTTAATCCCCTCTTCCATCACATTATAACTGTATTGTTACAAGATTAGTTCTGGCCCAGAAACTCATTCAGAGCGAGGGCCGGTTGGAGAGTGACCGCCCTGCTCCTCTCTGACAGGCACAAGCCGGCCGAGGAGGAGGCCCTCGGAGCACCTGGGCTCTGGTCAGTTCCGGGCCTCAAACATGGGCTCGGATCTGTTCTCAGGTACAGTCCAAGTGAAAATGAGACTCAAGACATACATCACTGGTCATTCACTGTATTCAGCTTATTCGGTCACACCTGCAGTTCTGGGGGCCCTCGTGGCTTCACGTCTGCAGAGCAAAGGGCAGCCGTTGCCCAGCTGAAGGCCAGAGCCAGGGAGCCGGAGGGGAGAGCTGGGTAGTTACACTTTCAAGCTCAGCTTAGCGGTTTCAGGATGCTTATTTCCAATTGGTCTTTAATTCTACAAAAGCTTTAAAACACTTGTAAGCCTTAAACCATTCAAGGGCTGGTTAAACTACACAGAGCTATGAAATCGTAGCCACAAAAGTTGAATCAGGTAAATATTTCAACCTGTCATTAAGTGTTACAACTTTAAAAAACACAATGTTTACTTGTAATGTGATTTTCCTAAAAACAGAACTGTTTTTAAAAATATGTATAATCTGTTAAAAAAAAATGTAAAATTATTTTTCCCAAATAAATTTCTTCTTACTCATAGAAATGAAAACACTTAAATGAATACCATAAGCATATCTGTTAATAATTCCCCCATTTTTTTAAAGTAACAGAATAAAACATTTAATGAAATTAAGCATAGAAGTTTTCTACCCTTCAAAATTATTTATTGAACTATTTAGGCGTATTCCCATGAAAAAGATATTTCTTATTTTTTATTTTAGGAAAAAATGGCATGCACTGTGATGGGCAGAGCAACACTCGTGTGTAAGAGACCATTCTGGTTCCTTCTCATATTTCCATATCATTTTATGATGTTTCTGGGGGCTTCCTTATTTGGAAAATAAGAATATCGCATTTTTTGTTTTCTTTTGAAAGTACTTATGTAAGAACATAGTATCATGATTGGGCAGGCCAGGGAGGCAGGAGAAGCCTTTTTTTTTTTTTTTTTTTTTGATAGATAAAAAGCATTCTGTATGATTGTTGTATAATAAATTGATTTTTACACTAAAGTAAAGCATATTGTGATTTATTTTTAAATCTGGTTCAAATAAGTTAAAATGTGTGTTTGGGATTCCAAATGACTCAGGATTTTTTTTAAACAATAAAGTGATATTTTAGCAATTAATTTTAGACTTTTAATTTTTCCTTCATTTCAATAAGCAATGAGCTTTTTTGTGTGTGATGTTGTTGCTTTTGCATTGTGTTCCTATACCAAGTTAAACTATTTCAGAAAATGGTCATTCACAAGAAAAATGTAAAAATTAGATCAGCAGAGGATATAAAGATACAACGAATGGACTGCTATGCAGAATAACCTGAGGAGCACGGGGTTGGCCGACAACACTGAAGCTGAAGCCCAGGCCCCCGTGCAGAGTGTGGGAGGCAGAGAGGGGGGGGGGGGGGGGTGCGCGCTGAGACTTGACCACTGTGAAGCCTGGGAGACACTTAGTCAAGGTTGTGGGCAGGATCACAGATTGGCATGTGTCGTGTAGAGAGTAGAGTTTTGAATGTGATGTTAAGGAGAACAAGACAAGTCCAAAAAAAAAGCTACAAAAGATGTGTTCAAAGTCAGCTTATAAAGTTGCTTAACTTCCTGGATAGTAACAGGAGTGGCCGGGAGGGAAGAGGGAACGGGACAAGAAGGAAAGGGAGTGGGCACTGAAGACGGGAATCTTCCTATCAACTATCTGAATGGGGGAGTCTGGGGGGGAGGAGTGGACATTTTCAAGAGCCTTCTCTTAACCTACAGGGACTTCATTACTTAATTTTAAATTTTTTTCTTAATTTATTGATTTAGAGAGAGAAATACTGTTGTTCCACTTATTTCTGCATTCATTGGATGCTCCTCGTATGTACCCTGACCAGAGATCAAACCTGCAACCTTGGCTTATCAGGCTGATGCTCCAACCAACTGAGCCACCCAGCCAGGACAGGGCTTTCATTATTTTAAACAATGGGTGGAACCAAGTCATTAAAACTTTGTTCTTAAAAATAAAAGATCAATTCTGTGTCTCCATGGCAAGGCCTAATAACTTGTTGCAAATTAAAAGGTGCTTATACGTGATAAATGTTCATCTAAATAAGTTCCATAGGCCTGGCCGGTTTTGCTCAGAGGTCAGAGTGTTGGCCTGTGGTCCAGAGAGACCCAGGTTCGGTTCCCACTAAGGGCATGTACCTCGGTTGCAGTTTGTCCCCGTCCCTGGTTGGGTCGTACGGTTGGCAACCACTTGATATGTCCCTTTCACGGTGATGTCTCTCTCTCTCTCTCTCTCCCTCCCTCCCACTCTAGCTGAACAAAATACGGAAAAAAATAAACAAGTTCCATAGTTTCTTTATATAACAAAGAATTCAGTATGTGTTTTTATTACAGCAGGCTTTCTTCAAAATCAAATTAAATTACATCTGTTATTTCAGGAAGATTTCCACTCAAGACACCCAAAGACAGTCACTCTTACAAGACTAACTCCAGTCCCCTAAGATATCCCTTGACCTTCAGTGCACATGACTCAGTCATGGAGGGGAAAAGCTATTGATTTGTAGGTCATCTTTCTGCCTTAGGACACCGTGCTGAGGGCACACGGGAATGATGCCAGGACAAGTACATCTGAAACCCGTGCCCTCGTCGGGCCGTTTGTGAAGGCAGTCATTACGGCTCTGAGTAGCAGCCCTCTGGGAGCCCACGGCGACAGTGTCTGAGGCCGAGCCCACCATGCTGGGTACCCACCAAGCTCTCGGCACTCGCCTTTGCCTTTGTGCACCCCAGTCTGTAGTCTTGAGGTGGTGCCTGCATTTGCCACAGTTACCACTAAACCTTTGCCTTCAGCCTCTTGACCTAGCTGACCCCTAAAGGCATTTGAGTCTGTGACTCCTAAGCATTGAACATTAAAAGAAGAATTCTACCCAGTCTTGCCCAGGCTGATGTCAAATACTAAGAGGGAAATGAACTTAGCATTCCTGTTGGCTGTGACCCTAGTAACAAATATTAGAAGCTGCAAATTTCTCTGAGAGACTTAACCACTCTGCCTAACATACTGTGTGTACAACCAGCCTTTATTTATTTATTTTTTAAGCTATTTAGTTTTATGAGCTTTGATAAACTCTGGAAGTAGTAATGTTCAATCAAAAAATTCATCAAGCCTTGGCCAGTGTGGCTCAGTTGATTAGAGCACCATTCTGTGCACGAAAGGGTTTCAGGTTCCATCCCTGGTCAGGGTGTGTGTGGGAGGCTCAATGTTTCTCTCTCATATCGATGTTTCTCTCTTTCTCCCTCCCTTTCCCTTCCTCTCTCTCTAAAATCAATTAAAAAATATGTAAATAGACCCGGCCAGTGTGGCTCAGTGGTTGAGCATCAACCCATGCACCAAGAGATCACTGGTTCGATTCCCAGTCAGGGCACATGCCCAGGTGGTGGGCCTGATCCCCAGTGGGGGGCATGCAGGAGGTGGCCAGTCGATGTTCTCTCTCATTGATGTTTCTATCTCTCCCTGTCCCTTCCTTTCTCTCTAAGACCAATAAAAAATTTTTTTTAAGTAAATAAATAAAATTCATCAACTCTACCTTGTCCAGTGCTATGACCCAGATGAAGTATCTGCCCTTAGATTTCATAGTTCTGGTAAAGTAGATGGAGAAACATTTAGTCATAAAATAATAGAGGCATTGATTACCAAGAAAACTTTCTGAAAGGAGGCAATACCTGTGATTAGTTTTGATGGGTGAGAAATTCTCCAAATAGACAGGAACTTTGTTCACGGAAATTCCAGAGGTAAACACAAACCTAAGGGGAGTCGCCATTCCTTCAACAAGAATTTCTTGAGCGCCTCCCTGTGCCAGGCATTAACCCGGGGTTTGGAATAAAACAGTGAAGAAAACAGACAAGGTCTCTGCTCTCAAGGTGTCTCGTGGACGCCCCCTAGCGGGAAAACGCAGTCATCGCAATCTGTAAGAATGTGCTAGTTAAGTTAACTGTTACACGTCACGATTCACACGCTCGCCTCCTTTACGTGGGGTGCGGAATACGAATGCTGAGGTCACTAGTTATTCCTGAATCAGTTCATAACTTCAATCTACTGTTTCTGGCTTGAGAAAAAGTAACAAAGACAATTGAAATGGCATCATTGAGTGTGAATAATTATACTTTTGAAGTGTATTTAAGTTTTTTCTCCTGTGGTAACAAGACTGTAGCCCTGTGTCTTAGGGCCCGGAGTGGTAGAAGCAGAGCCTCCAGGGCATATCCACACGTGTGCGTGGGATCTGACACCATGGTTCAGGGGGTGACTGCAGTCTCTGTAAGGCTGTCGCCATCCTGTCTGATGCTGAAGCTTAAAGCCCACAAGGCAGGCAGTTGTGTCTAAACAATTTCTCGTCTTTTGGCATAAACATATACATTTCTGCTGTTTTTTAAAAAAGTGGAAAAGAAATACTGTGTTCAGGAATACCAAGAATTCAGAGACAGGCCTTAAAGTCTTGTTTTTGTCCTTTAAGAAAACACCTGCCGAGATAAGGCTAAACTGATGTGAGAATCAGCATTCAAATGAGGAAGGGAGCCCACCCACAAGGGCCCTCATATTAAACTTCATGAAAAATCTGCATTTGATACCTGCACGCAGGTACTATTAGCAGGCTCAGGTGTCATTTCTACAGCAAGTAAGGGAAGTAAATAAATTGTTTGCAAAGAAACATTCAGAGTCATAGGATCATTGAAAATATATACATCATAATTTGGGATTGAGGAAAACCCTGATTAAAACAAAAATGTTTTGTAAGTGAGGAGGAGTTAGCCAAACACATCAAAGTTCACTCCTCTCCCACGTTCATCTGGCTCTCTCTAGAAAACCCCTTTGCCACTCGAAAGTGATGGAGAAAATATATGGTTTTACCCACATTAGCTGACCTATTTTTGCCTCAGCTACGGGGAGAAGGAGTCTCCAAATGTGGTCTGTGGGCTGAAATTCAGATGATGCTTTCAGCTGAAATGTCACCTCCTTTGTGAGGCCTTCCTGGATCTCCCAAGTGCTTTATTACTTGGTTGTGTATGTAGATGCATTGCAGCTTACGATATATAATAATTTGTGCATGTCTGTCTTTCCCTCTAGACCATGAACTATTTGAGTATATGTTTCTTGTTCTTTTCTGTCTTCTTCGCAGCTAGCCACAGTGCCTGGCACACAGTAAGTGTTTAATAAATAAATGTTTGTTGACTTAACAGATAAACTAAGTGCTGGCTGATTCATCCAGTCTCCTGCCTACCACATACACATAAAGGACCAGCACTTCAAGGTTAACGTCCTGTAGCCCAGTGGACTTGCTTCTGATCAGTAAGAATGAATACAATGGGGGATATTTGCCTTTTGCAACTGAGATAGTTGAAGAGAGTTAAGGCATTAGGGTTTTTGGAAGAAGTGAATGACTAACTAGATAGCCAAAACTCTAGCTTACACGGTAAAATACAAGCATCCTTAGTCAGATAGACGCAGGTCCCTGTGGGAAGGAAACCTAGGGTGGGGTAGGG